TCTGTTCATCTCCCTCCCTCCTCAGCTGCTTCCTGACGGCGGCCGTTCCCTCTATCTGAATCGAGGTTTGCTGGTTCAGCGCCTGCAGGTCTCTGACTCCGGCCTCTACACCTGCTCCAGCCTGGAGCGCTCCTACAGCCAGGTCCTGGCCCGGTACCAGCTCCACGTGCTGTCCAGCAGCACCCTGCAGCCAGAGAGGGCCAAGGTACTCATCCTGTACTCAAGTAGAAGTACTTTGTTTAAAAATACTCTGGTACTGACTAAAGTCAGTACTGACTAAACTTCTTTACTCAAGTCAAAGTAAAGAGGCTTTGAAATGTACTTCAGTAAAAAGTACCCATAACTAGCAGCTGTTTTAAAGAGTACCTGACCTCCCTTTATATTAATAGAACAATAATGTCATTGTTAGCTAATGAATGTTTCCATGGTGACCAACGGCAACATGACATCAACATGTAAGAAGTAGAAAGTACAGGTATTTGTGTTCAACATGTAAGAAGTAGAAAGTACAGGTATTTGTGTTCAACATGTAAGAAGTAGAAAGTACAGGTATTTGTGTTCAACATGTAAGAAGTAGAAAGTACAGGTATTTGTGTTCAACATGTAAGAAGTAGAAAGTACAGGTATTTGTGTTCAACATGTAAGAAGTCAAAGTAAAAAGTCGTCAGTAAAATAAGTAGTGGAGTAAAGTACTGACACCAGAAAAATGTACTTAAGTACAGTAACGAAGTATTTCTACTCCACTACTTCCCACCTCTGGATGCAGTGACTCTGATACAGAAACATCAAAGACATGTTCTTTATTTGTATATATCTGAGGCCCATAATATATGCCTACAAATAGCATGATAGGAGATCTTCAAGTACAGTAACTAAGTATTTGTACTCCACCTCTTCCTGCAGACAACGTCCCACTTCCAGCAGAACCTCAGCCCCAACCAGCCGGGCAGCGTCCCAATCGGCAGGGGGTTCCTGGGTCCTCTGAAAAACTACAAGGAGCTGCATACCAACAGTCTGAGCATGGACGAGTACTGCGAGCAGCTCTGGTACCGGGAGAAACGCCGGCAGCAGAAACTCAGAGCGCTGAAGCTGAAGCAGGAGAGCAGGAAGGCCCGGGTGAGGAGGCACAACCCCCCCGAGGGGCCTCTGTAGAGCCCTGAAGGACAGAGACACTGCTCAGGGACAACACGTCCAGCACACGAAGAGGACATACAGTCCCCTCCAAAGCCACTGGAACAGCGACGTCTGTTGCTTTATGTTTGCAGTACACTGACAACAATTGGGTTTCACATCAAAAGAGGAATATACCTGGATGTAAATACCTGGAACTAAAAGCCTTTTGTCTCATCTTGATTTCAATTGTTTTCAGTGTATAGCAAAAATAAAGCAATTGGCGTCGCTGTTCCAGTAGCTTTGGAGGGGACTGTGTCGTTAAATCAGTTTTGGAATAAAGAAGGGATGATTTCTGTATTTCAGTCACTTTTTATACAACCAGTGAAATAGCTGAGATGAAGGCCCTGTTCCAAACCGCCCCCTACACCCTATCCAACAGAGAGGCTGACTTCACCTGCTGCTCCACCTGACCGACTCGACGCTGTGTGTATGTTACCTCGTATTGTTTTTAAGGATCACGTTTTATTATTGTTTTGTTTTTTTCAAGAGATGGTTTCAAATGAGCATCTCTTGGACAAAGAATAACAAAAAGAAAACTCCCAAAATCTTTAATGGCGTTTCTTTTATGTAAACGTCTATATGTTTTCTAAACTAAACACGAGTATATGATCCTAAGTTTGAAAACAATACGAGGTAACCATGAAGTTGTTAACATCTGTAGTCGATATGAAATCTGCAGTTTATCAGTACATGTTTGAACTGTTTGTGACTGGAATTGGGCCTTTATTACAGAGTGTGTAGGGGGCGGTTTGGAACTGGGCCTGAGTGTGCAAAACTAACAAGCTAGAATCCGTTAGTAGGTCTCACTCCCACACAGAAACATGTAAACTATATATAATTAATGACAGAAGACTAAAGTTTGCCCTTTGTTTAAACATGTATTTATGTTAATCGTATACATGTATTGATTTATATGGACTTCAGTGGAGACGCACACATTAAATGGACATTATAATGTAAAGCTTATTAATAACTCTGCCTTGTAGCTAATACATATTATTCACATCGATGTATATTAAAGAACTCTATTTTTGATAGTTTTCTTCTTTGTAAGTTTGAATTTTAGTACATTTCTACATAAACGTGTGTGTTTTTCATTAGCAGCTGTTTGGACGAAGAAGCTTTGAGATCAATAAATGTAAATTGTGTTTACTGTATGTGAATAAGCCACAACATGTTGTACAAATAAAAACATAGAAACATTCAAAGGTTTTAAATGATTGTGCAATATAAAGTTCGGTTTATTTTGCTAAGAACGTTTATCTTACGATCATAACTAACCAGTACAGAAACTTTACATAGAAATGAATGGATGTTTACGTGCCGT